GGTAGACAACAGCTCACTTCTCCAGCTCTCCAGCATCTCTTGTTTACATCAGCAATCTGCTAGAACATATTTTACTTAGTGGTGGGGGACATGGTTTGGTATCTCATCCAAGAACCCTGCCAGGGCTACATTGAATGAAGCTACCCCTTTAAATGGGTGTCCCTCTTAATTCATGTAAGAACAAAATGATGAGTAAATCACTAGGAGTGAAGTATGGTTTTTTTTTTATTCTTGATTTAACCAAACCTGACAATAACTGGAAGATCTGCCTGTTTTTGGTTAAAATTAGTAAAAATAATAAGTTATACACTTCATATCATCATAAATAAAACCAAACCCACTCATAAAAAGTAACAAAAAATAGTATGAAACCACCTAACTAAACAAAATAAAAACCTCTTGACTGATACAATTAAAAGTATTGCAAACAATATCTGCACATTCTAGCTAATGACCTGAAGTTAAGATTCCTCTCCTAAACACTCTAAACTTTTTACTACAACTAAAAACCACAGAAATTGGCAAAAACTTAACCTTTCTGAAGTTTAGAAAAAAAAACTATCCCTATTGCTACATTTCACTCACTCTAGTTTTTAAGTTAGGTCATTCTTCTTGCTCTGGTCCATAGTAACGTAATCTACTCAGGCTGAATTCTTAAAGTAATGAGTGAAATGAGACCCCATAACATCCTCCTAAAAATGTGAAGTCTGTAATTGTTGATCATGTCATCTAAAGAGTGAGAGTGACAATGACAAAGATGTTTGTTGATGACACTACAACAACCTGGGTGGAAGTCATCATCAGAGTGAGAATCAAAACAATTTGATGATGTCAAAATAGGATGATAGTTCTTTTCAGGACTTCTCTCACTCACAAAACTGCATGATCAACTTTTATCCTAGCTTTAAACTATCTACTGTATAGGTCCCACGAATGATTAAATACCAATTTATGATTAACAATCCAGCCTTGAGGATTTGAGACAAAATTCTAGTTCCTAACCTTCACATATATGTTTTCCAAGTGGAGTTTCTATTGAATGGCTAAACTGTTAGTGTCTGATAGCTCCAGAACTTAAGCTTAAGCATTTACATTTGGTGAGAAATCTGTACAGTGAAATTATCTGTCAACCTGTTATTTCACTTGGGCATACCCTACGTTCATTCCAAACAAAAAGTGGGAGAAAATTCCTCAGCTGATTTCTAAGAAAGGTTTTAAGTTGAGTAAATTTAGTTTGTGGAGTGAACATTGTTAGTGTTAATATTTTTACACCTCTACCAGAGTAAAAATTCTACATGTTTGCTAAAGGGATACATCTAGATTAGTTTAGAAGCAAGTTTGTAGAGGATTAAGATAATTTTTTTTAACTAGTGCATATTTGAAAAAAAATTTATCAACCCATGCAGCACTTTTTAGACTCCTGATGATGTTCCAGCAAGTCTTCAGCTGAAATAGCATGTCCAATACCCAACACATCTGTGGGCCGCATAGGCAGTGCCTTAATTCCATCCCAGCCATCTCTCAGTCCCAGGTCTCCTCTCTCCATACGTTTATGTACTTCCTCAGTCACTCTGAAAAAAGCTTCCTCGATATTGCATAAAACCTTAGCTGATGTTTCAATAAACATCATATTGTTTGCTTCTGCAAATCGTTCTCCTTCCTCTGTGGAAACTTTCCTCATTGATTCTTTGTCAATTTTATGACCGATCAACATGAAGACAACATCACTTTCCTCTACGCAGTTCTTTGCCTCTGTATACCAGTCTTTAACATTAAGAAATGATTCCCTGTTAGTGATATCATAAACAATCAAGCAGCCAACAGTGTTTCTATAGTATGAGTATGTGATGGCACGAAATCTTTCCTGTCCTGCAGTGTCCCAGATCTGCAACTTTATTCTGACATCAGCTGAAGAACACAAAACAGAGAAAATCAATTCATTGTGTCACCTGATATATTACAGTAAATACTGTGATATTGAGCTGATTAATATCTCAAGCCTGCTATCTGTTTTTCACACTCTTAAAATAGAGTGCAGTTGCCATAGGTAACTAATTATTGTTTTTTGGCAACTTGAAAATCTGTGCATAAAGTTTTGAATAGCTTTGCATCTCAGATTGATTTAAGAGCCCTTTTGGTACCCATTTATTCTTGTAGGAGCAAAGTTTGGAGAGCTTATAGCTTATTAATATGGAAATTGACAAATACAGAGAGATACATGTATTGAATGAAAAGCCCAAAACCTCTCAAAAGGAGGTGGCTTATTTAGCTACTTCCACACTTCATTAAATCATGACCACACGAGTCCTCTATTTTATGTACTTAGAATATTTGGCTTGAGTCAGATTTATATTTCAGAATGCTGTCTCCCTGACTTGCCAGTGACTCTCCTCCAAAGAGATATAAATATCATATGAAAGGTTGTGCTTATTCATAATCGTGTTCAAAATGCAACAGCAATAAAATGTAAATTAACCAAGAATAAAATACTTTAACCATGAAAACCTGGAAAATATTTCACAATTTTTAAACATTTCAACGATTTTCTCAGGCATGGCGTCTAAAATATGCAAGCATCATTTTAATTCAGATTAACCAGTTTCACACTTCGTTGCCTAATCTCAGATTTTCAAGCAAAATAAAGCTAAATTGGAGACAATATTTAAGAATATGGCCTACGTAGTACATGACTTTTCAAGAAACCTGATCGATTTCAGTTAAACCACTTCACAAGAACAGTAGATATAGGCATTACCACTGTAAATATTTCCTAATTGAAATTCAAATATCCCTTACAAAATTAGCAAGTATAAATGAATGCATTTTCTCCAAGAGTCCAACAGGTGACGGCTAATCTTTTTACATAAAGATGTAAAAGCAGACTTCTTAATTCAAAAGCTTCCGTAAACCTACCCAAGGCACATTTTTTGTAGCGGTTCAGTGCAAATCTAATGGTTGAGACGGATATTCGGACGTTGATAAAATTAAACAAGGCATAAAGGCCTCATATTCTAATAGGATTTAAGATGTACAACTAAAGCTGAAAATGCAGCCACGACAAACGATCGTGAATTTAGAATTAACCGAATCCACATCACTTGCAAAAAATTTGTTTTCTACTACGATGCGCTAAAAGCAACGCAACACTTCCTAAAACAGGAAAAGAATTCGCAACGACATTCTAGGAATGGTTATATCATAGGTAAAACAATTGATAGTTAATATTTCTCAAAGATAAATTCGATGTGCATTGCTGACACGCAACATGGCAAACGTTAAGTAAAATGGTTGAAAACTCACATGTAAGCATCACAACCCTGACATGAAAATCCACACCGACAGTTGGGTCGGAGTTTTCGATAAATTGCCCTTCCGTAAACTGCCGCAAAAGCGAGGATTTTCCAACAGTGCTGTCGCCGATTAAAATAATTCTGAACTGGTAAAAATATTTTGGTTTGAAGCGGGCAGCGTCTGCAGATCTTTGACGACTCATCTTCAGACTTGTGAAATCCTCAGTACTTTGTAGAATTTTATTATTATGTGGCCATGTGTATTTCAACAGGCCGTGGGGAAATTGTTTTCAGTTCAAATCTGTAAAATTCTGCAACGAAAATAAACCAAAACGATTAATTACATTATCGTTAAGCACAAACTAACTTCCTTTGACTAAAATCAAGTACAAAACAAGATGTACAAGGTGGAAACAGATCTGTACTACCAAATGTTGAAGTAGTACGTCGTAAAATATTCAACGTGGATCTATTATGACAACCGAGAAGGCATGGACGTAAAAACATTCTCATAAATTGCTTACCTAAGTAAAAGTATGGGTAACTTTGAATACCTTGGAAAGTGAAACCCTGCGAACTATCTTTACGCTTTCACGAAAATAACTTTACCGTCAGCGTTCGCTTTATCATAACAACCCCGCAGGCAGTCATTCCAAATATGGTCATTATACCCATAAATATAATTTGACAAGATGGCGGACGAACAAGTGGAACGCAGTTACATCCGTCCACTTTTTGAGCGCATTTTTACGCGGTAAGTGACACTTATGATGTTTGAATTATTCCCTTGATTTTGTGAAAAAAGTCAGCGATAATTTTTCTGTAATAACGCTATTATATGCTAATCGAGCCAGAGAGAGACCTGTTCAGCGACTCTGTCTTTTTAAGTTGTTTTAGTCTATCTTGAAAGACATCTCTCTCTTAAGATTGTTTTAATTTTAGCCATTTTGTCTGAGGGAGAGTAGTTATGAGAAGGACTGTTGTGGTCACCGAGGTTTAACCAACGGGGTGTTTAGCCAAAGCTATCATCAGAATTAAGTCAAAAATTGTCTATCAGTGGTATATTATAAGTCTGCTTTATGTAAACTGATTGGCAGTTTTGCTGTGATCTCATTGGCTGTAAGACCTAAGTAGCATAAAATGGTCATAGTTGATCAGTTTTGATCTATTAGCTGTCATTGAAAATTGCCACCACACCATGCATACAATATGACTTCTTAGAACAGATGTGTGAGTAAAAAAGTGAACACTAACAACTGGACCCTACTTGTCACAAGGGACTTATGCTTCTTGAATTTTGACTATTGTATGCTTCACTTTAGGAGGTTCCTTGGAATTCTTGCCCTTGGTCAATTGTTGTCATGGCTCGTTTGTGGTACTGGTGTATTTAGTCAGCTCTTGGCATCTGATTATGGCATTGAGATTCCAACAACACAAAGTTTCTTGAACTATTTATTATTAGGACTTATACACACAACCACACTGGCCTGTCATCCTATGGAATTTAAAAAGAGACTTACTGAAACAGGATGGAAATATTTTTTAATTTCACTCTGTGATGTTGAGGCAAATTATTTGGTTGTTAAAGCTTATCAGTACACAAATTTAACCAGCATTCAGGTGAGTCACCATCAAAAATAAGAAAATTAAACTTAATATTACAAACATAAATATTAGTAAGTGTAGGGACATTATTGTTTTGATAGTTTCTAGGAAACTAACTTGTTAACTCAGGCATCATTGTTGAATACACCAATAAGGCATATACTTCTACAGGGATAAATTGATGCTAATATTATTGCTAAACACCAAGTTTATCTTACTTCAAAGTGCCTGCTCTTCTATGTCAAGGGCAAAGCTCTATCAAGTGCTAAAGGGCCTACACTGGTATAGCATTTTCTCAGCATTAATTTTTTTATGGGTTTTGCTATTCCTCCCACTTCACTTGATTATGCTGGTCCATTACTAGTTGCTCCCTCCATTTCACAGTTAACCAACATCCATCTATAACCCAGGCTAGAATGAGGTTCATCAAGATTTCATTGTCTTTCCCAGGAACATGACACCTCTGTCAGAACTCAAACTTGGATCTAACTTCCTCTGGAGTACAACATGCTAAACACTATATCATTGTATTTCCTTCCTTTGTAATAAACAATGGCTTAATCAGCTTATTCATATGATTTGAGGACATTTTTTCAAGTAGATCAATTGACTCTTTCTATTTTTGACAGGTCTTGGACTGTTTCTCATTAGTATCAGTTTTAGTTCTATCTTGGATATTCTTAAAAGTACGCTATCAGTTTGTCCATTACTCTGGTGTACTCGTCTGTTTAGCTGGCATTGCTTGTCTTGTTATAGCAGATTACTTTGGTTCTCGCTATTATGGTCCAGGTGAGTAAAACTCAGAAATAAAAAAATTTGTAAATTTATGTTTATCAGCCTAAATACAGTCAAATTATACTTTCAATTCTACGAGTGAACATCAAATGAATTCTCTTCACTTTGCACTTTTAGTAATTGATACTTTTAATCAGACAGGTGAGAAAAAAATTATTAAGTAGACACTTATCGAAAAAGATATTGTCTTGAAGAAACACCAAAGTGTCAGAAATAGGCAACTAGAGAAAGTCATCATTTGGGAGAATAAGCTCTCCAATCTTTAGGGTAAATAAGTGTGAAAAAAAAAAAGATCTAAAGAAGAATTTGTGGGCAGGCTTTTTTAATAGGTTTGGGTGTGTGTGTCTCACTAATTTGCAGGTAATTTATTGAATTGCAATGCTGATTATAGTGCTGTCCATTTCTTTAAATTCTTTTTAATTCTTCTTCTCCATCCTTCCTTAAATTTTTCTCCAAAGGTTTGTTTTTCCTTCTCTTGCAGAAGGCAAAATTATTTATTTGGTTCAGTTTAATTCCTGTTTACACATTTTCATTTGATTTGTAGTAAAAAATTTCAGCAAATCTATTAACCAATGATCTAAAATTCTTGATGTCATGTTGTATTACACACTGTATATTGATGTCTCTAATCAATATTATTTAGATTCCAAGTTGTATCAGCTGCCTAAATGTAAATGATTAAGAGGCTGATTTTCTTTAATTGATAATTTCCCTTATGATATTGCTCCTTTACAGGTAAAAATCAAGCCATAGGAGATGTTCTGGTGTTGTGTGGAGCCATCATGTATGGAATTTCGAATGTTGCAGAGGAGTTTGTAGTAAAGAACTTTAGTAGAGTTGAATTTCTTGGCATGATTGGACTCTTTGGGAGTTTTATCTCAGCAATTCAGATGTGAGTTTTATGCCATGAATTAATTATTATTATTATTATTATTATTATTATTATTATTATTACATTATTTTTTTGAACATGTTTGTTACTAGTTCTGGATTGTAAAGGGGCCAACCTCATTTTGTGGTGGCAAAGGCCTCAAAAGGAATCTCTCCATTATTTTTGTTCTGCCAAACTTGCATTTATTTATATGGTCAGCTTATTGTAACATTTCTTCTTAATATATTTTTCTCTCATCAGGATGATTCTTGAAAGAAATCAACTGTCAGCCATTGAATGGGATTATAAAATTGGTTGGTTGATTGAGCTTTTTTTAACTACTTGTCTTTTGTAATGATTATATTAAATTGGTTAAAAAGATGAAATGTTATGAAACACTGATTCCTCTAAAATATTTCCTTTGTGTTATAATATATAATTATTTTATTGTAGATTATTTAGCATTTGAATGCCATTAGTGAATTAATCAAGCCCTGAATTCCTTTTCAGTTTTATACTTCATTGGGTTTGGACTTTGTTTGTTTCTGCTGTATAACCTGGTACCTGTTGCTATAAAGTTCAGCAGTGCCACAGTTGTAAACTTGTCCCTACTGACAGCAGACTTTTACAGCTTACTCTGTGGATTATTTCTGTTCCATTACAAGGTGAGTCACTTATCTCTTAGTATTCACTTGACTGACCTTCCACATCGTTTATGAATAATTCCAGAGCATAAGCCAGGAAAGGGCTGTAGGGGATTTGACAAACTTGAATGCATAAACGAAGGGGGAAGAGGAAGCAAAAACATATTGTTTCCCATGCTCCAGACTCACTACATGCTTCACCCTCACTTCATACTTAACTGTTGGGTAGTGACATAGCTGTGAAAATAGTAAGATGGATTTCAGACAGACTTTCTTCTTACTTCTTGATCATTATCTTATAAATTACTCAGGGGAAATCCAAGGGTATAATATAAGGTTAACCCCCTGTTGTGGACTGTTTATTCTCATCGCATGTTTACTGGATAAAGTATGGATATTTTAAGGAGATGAAATATGTAAACAAGTCAAGGATGGCTGATAGCAGTTCTTTAGAAAACATTTTGTGACAGAATTCTCATCATATTGTCTTTGTTTCAGTTCTCAGCACTGTACCTTGGATCTTTAGCATTAGTAATATTGGGCGTCATTGTTTACAACCTTAAACCCACACCCAGTCATCCTAGCTCTACTTTTACCCAGTTCCCCTCCTACAGACAACTCGAAGAAGACTCACAGCAAACAGACGACAATTCATCTTCTTCATCGTGTTGTTGTCAAGAATTACAAACTGGTCAAGTTGATACTGACAATGTATAAAACGTGATCATTGGCAGCCAAGAAATTATTTGTTGATATTTAATGTATGAAATTTTATATACATGATATATTTAACGTGTTTCAATGTAATAGAAGTAAAGACACTTTTTTAAAAATTTTTTATTGCCCGCACACCAAAAAATTGGGAGTGGAGTTAATTGCCTGAAAAGTGATGGACCACGAAGAATATTGATAATTATGTTCATTTTAGACCTATAACTTTGATTGAAAGGTTTTTAGTTTCATTTTTTTTCTGGAAACAATCTTTAGGTCGTAGGTCATGAACATCGACTGAGTCATAGGAAAAGGTAACGGAAAGTCACGGAATAGTATAAGTTTGAAAAAGAACTGGAGCTTGGCTGTAATGAAGCTAGCTGTGTTAAGTTTTGTTAATTTAGCTTAAATACTCTTCTAATCATTTATTGAGATAGGAAACAATTTCACTGGCTTGAAGACACATTAACTACACATTCAATACGCTTCTTCTGTCTATATACGTCAAACTACTTGTCCCTGTCATGCATTCCTACGACATCAAATACCGTTGTTGTATCATTGAGTTTGATAAAATGGCTTTGTTTTTGTTCTACAAAGAATGCACATCACTTTCCATCGTTAAAAAGTACACGTAGGCATTTCAGAAAATTCAAAATAAAACATGAATAGGGAAGGACAGTAACCAAATGACTTGGCCAGAATTGAGAGGAACCGACAAGTCGCAAGAGATTCAATCTCACCACAACCGCAAATACCCAAAATTCTCAGACATATTTCCCTCCTTTTCAGACTTCCGTTTTTGACTCATTTGCAACCACTTTACGTCAGTTTTTTTTAATTCTGATATTTTTCTTCAAATAACTTTACCGCTCAAAGGCCGCCGATCAAGAGTTGAATCGTAAATACGTCTAAGTTGTTTTGTAAATTGTCAACATTCCCGCAGTTGATATCAGTTATTAAACCTGGGGCTAATAATTTCGAAGTC